GAAAACAAGATCCAGATGCTTGAGATGTGTTTCTCTGTCCGGACTTGCGATTAGACAGTCGTCAACATACGCGTGTACGAAGTTGAGACCTCGAAAAACGTCGTCTATGAATCTTTGGAATGTTTGAGCAGCATTCCTTAGACCGAAAGGCATTCGCAAAAATTCATAGAGTCCGAAAGGAGTTATGATAGCTGTTTTCGGTATGTCGTCAGTAGCCATAGGGATTTGGTTATACGCTTTAACCAAGTCGATTTTCGAAAAAACAGTTGTACCTTTCAAGGTAGCTGTCAAATCGTGAATGTGAGGCAACGGGTAACGATCGGGAATGGTTTTCGCGTTCAATCGCCGATAGTCACCAGTTGGACGCCAATCGTTGCTGTCCTTTTTAGGGACCATGTGCAACGGAGATGCATATGGGCTACTTGACGGTCGTATGATTCCTAAGTCCATCATGTGATCGAATTCGTTTTTCGCTAACCTTAGCTTTTCAGGAGCTAGTCGTCGTGCTTTAGAGAATACAGGTGGTCCTGTAGTCGTGATGTGATGTGTAACATTGCTGGTTACACACGGTAGTTTCGGTTGAGTTTGTTGTATCCCAGGGTACTTATCGAGTAGTGGTTGATAGAGTGGGTCTATCATATGTTTAACTGTGACTGGGGATACTCTACAACCAGTAAAGGAAGTTACGCAAACGGACAAATTAGTGTTTCCGTCTACTAGCCTCCGTTTGCGAGTGTCGATGATCAGATTGTGGTGTTGTAGAAGGTCCATACCAATGATTGGCATAGAAACATCTGCAACAACGAAAATCCAGTGGATGGGTTTGCGTAAACCCACGTTAAGGTAAACGTACCTTTTGCCATACGTAGCGATCGGTTTTCCGTTTGCCGCCTGTAAGTTTAGGGTCGATTCGTGTAGTCGGTCGTTAGGATTTGCTGGGAGAACGCTAACTTCTGCGCCAGTGTCGACGAGGTAACGAACTCTCGTTGTCACATCTGTGACGAATAACAGACGGCTTTGTTCGCCGGCTACGGTTGCCGTTAACGCGTGCCGGCTTGGAAGTTTCCCGAATTGGTTTTCGAATCAGTCGGTTTCGTGTTGGGAAAATTGCAGGGTTTTCTGCAATTTCTGGAAAACTTTCCATACTGGTTATGATACCAGCACCAGTCGGGGTTATCTGTCTCTCGTGGTCTAGAGACAGATCGCTTACGAGAAATGCTTCTACGTGGTGTGCGCGATCTCTTACGGTCGGTACGAAGACTAAGATAACGCGTGAGTGTGTGACATAAGTCGTTTATATCATTCTGAGTCGTTTGAGGTTTTTCTTTGACTGAAAATACCTCGGTAGTAGATTTCGTAATTTCTAAATGCGGTCGGCAGATGCAGCTAGTTCGTCTAAGGCGTTGTTCTGGAACGAGACCAGAACTGCTTGCACCTGTTGGGGAAGTTTTGACAAGAAGAGTTGTTTGAATAGGCCTTCGTCGAAAGTTCTTGGGCCTATTACCTCTCTCATCCGTTGCAACATGTCTGTCGCAGAACCATGTTGCAGGTCGATATTGTTGAAGAGTTGATCTAACCTTTGTCGATCGGTTAGGTCTCCTCGTTTAAGAATCGAGCGTTTTAAGATTTCGTAAGGATCGGAAACATCACTAGTAAACATACTAGGTGTTACGTACCTGTTGAATTCGCGCGGTAGTGCCTTGACTACTGCGAGGAATTGCGCACGTGTGTCGATCACGCCGTGCTCGGAGAAGTCGGCTTCTGCGTAGCAAAACCAGGCTTCGATGTTGTCGGGCCAGAAAGGCATCAGTTGAAACGAAGGCGGGGACAAAGTCTTAAGCTTGAGTACTTTAGGTGTCTGTTCAGTCATGATGAAGTATGAAGTACGATAATGAACGAGGGGAAAATATATATATCCAGGAAAAAACACGAAAAAAAAATCACAATGTTTAAAAAAGTTAAAAAAATAAGGCAATGATATATAAAAATCCCAAAAAGGAACAGACTCACACTTGCAATTAGGTGTACCAGATCACGTCGGTTTCACCAATGTTGATGTCACAGGTATTCAGTGTTTGACAACGCTTCTACCAGTAACACCTTCTAATATATTTCGTTCCCGCCCAGAGAAATCAAAAGACAGAGTCGAGGAGATCGGAAGAGTATATTTGGCGATGACCAATATATCGGAATTCTCTGATCTAATCTGGCTAGCGATTGCGGTTGATGTTGAGCACGGCGTTACCACACGTGATCTGGTGCTGATGCCTGACCGAGCGCCTTCAGCTAGGTGAGTCCACTAAAACATATGGTCAGCATCCAATGTCGAAAACTTAGTGCTATTTATTTTGGGGATTTATTTACCGCTACAACTGTGTAACGCGGCCAAGAAGTTAGTAGGGAGGTTTAGTAAAGTGAAGAGACCAGTCTGAAACGTTACAAAATACTGATGACTGAGGTGAATTGGGGACTTGAGACATCTTTTGAACAGACTAATGTAGCCGTGCATTAAAGTAACACGCACACAAACCTCTCTATATTTTTACAGTTCATCAACAAAAAAGAGAGTAGCTAGACCATCAGGTATATCACGAATGGGAATGCAGTATACCAGTCAGCACATACGGAGGCACTCAAGTCAGATATATCAGTGACTGTACAGATTCTTCATGTTATTTTCGCAAAGAACAAGAAATAGTAAACTGGAAAGAAGGGATACCACATCATGATGAAATGTAATCGAGATCTTAATGAGTATTGTTACTTGAGAGTTATTCAATTACTGTCCGTACTAGAGTGGATAGAAAAGCCTGGTGGAATGTTCTTTGAAACTACGGAGTGTATAAGATCTTCACCATCACACGGAATTTTCATAAAGAACTGGATTCTAAATTGATACATGCACAGAACACATGAATGAACTCCAAGTGAAAACTGCCGTCGAATAAGATTCCCTAATTTTACCTTTTCACTTTCTTCTGGTTATTGATTGGATTAGGAAGGCCTCGATATCTCAGAAACACTACAAAATACAGTGGACACTTCAGGATAAACTAGATGATTCGAACTTCGTATATGACTAGGACCATCTATCTTAAACAACATTAAATGCTGGTAAAGACACCTAATATAGCAATAGCTTTCACAGAAATAAGACTCAACATTCACAATGGAAAAAGATCCTAAAGTACAAAATAGCAAGAACCAACCTAATCATATTTGATAGTGAAACTCTGAAAGAGCTGGGAACCTTTACATGCCTAGAAAGCATAATAGATAAACAAAGAGCATTTGATACAGACGCGAATCGTGAAGACAGTGGGATCATTCCTATTATCGAAAAATATTTGGAAGTCTGAGCAACTGTAACTTAAGACTATGATCAGAATTTAAAAAGCTAACATTAAAACAGCCTCATTATGCAGAACTCGTACGTAAAGAAATATCATCAACATCAATAAAATAGTACATGTATTAATAAGTAGCTGTTTACGCATGATACTCTAGATTCATTTTTTCAAAGCCATCATGTGGTGTTTGTAAGAACTAATGAGTCCTTTGTACTTGATGACTGCCTGATTTTGAATTCTAAAGACGTTTTTTCGTGCTCGTTTAGTTCATCTTGGTTATATTGTGTTATTTCTGGGATTCCTAATTCGTATAATAATTCAGATACTTCTAATTATCACATCGGCGTCGCGAGCAGGATCCAGTGATGGAACAGCTGGACATAAATTCAGATTTTGATACTTTTGAGGACTATATGAAAAGGTTTGAAATCAGGCAGTCATCAAGTTCAAACAAATCACAAGTTCATACAAACATCACACATCAGCAATAATCTACTGTGAGGAGTAACAAACCCACTACCATTTGCGTAAGTTAGAAAAATATGCTAGGGGTAGGAAACACTATACAGTGACCATTCGGTTGCATTACAAGACAAACCTTAGCTTAGTATCTTCAAAGAACACATGACTCAGGGAAGTGGAGGTGAACATAAGGACTATGAATAGATCTTGGGAACAACTGGGAAAGAAAGCTCAGGACAGAGTTGTTTGCAGATTTTTTTATTGCTAAGCTTCGCTTCAAAATCAGTCAGAATTTTGAGTGATTGATAAGCAAGCAATTTCATAGTTTGAACATTTAAAAGTACTTTATATAGCCAAACCAATTGTAGTACTTCGTCATTTAAATGTACTACACTCAATTCTTTAAGCCACTAAGAGAGACTGATAGGAATACTGTTAGAACTTGAGTTTATATTAAAAAAGTTGTCGATGGTGAGAGTCATCACTTTAAGCTATAAATCTTAACATTAAAAATTGCAGGTACAGACCAGGCTGTTATAAATAAACCCATTCTAAGTATATATGGCTTTACGACTAGACCACAAACAAACACCGCATAAGTTACTATTATTAACATTTCAGCTAAAAGTCTATTTAAAATGCTTAAAAATTTAATTTCTTTTGTATTTCTTAGATTCGACTCATTTACCTCCTCAAAATAAGATTAATTATTAATGGATGCGTTTTGGTATATTAAGTTTTTTCTGGTAAGCGTTTTCTTAGTGAGTTAGTTTTCTACAGGGTGAGGTCGCTAATCCCATGCCCAACCATCCTCTTTTATCCTGGCTTGGAGCCGGCAGTAGCCCTAGAGGGGCTCCAGGTGGAGAACTTACCTACGTCAGAAGGCAAACTTTCACATGAAATCCTCAAGGCCAAAGAAAAAGAGGAAAACCAAAGAACACATTATGCCGAGAAATGGAGACAGACGTTTGAAGAATCAACAAAAATTGGATAGAACTAGAAAGCAAGGCTCAGGACAAAGTGGGTTGGGATAATGTTGGTCGGAGTAAAGGGCGTAAGTAAGTAAGTTTTTTATTATCAAGTCATCAACATCATGGAATACATACTGCCATGTTTTTAAAATATTTTACGGTTTCAATCATCAAAATCAATATTCATCAATAAAAAAGTACCTTTTTCAGTTATTCATAAAAGTGTATTGAAACAATACTAAGTTTGAAAATTCATTCAAATAAATAAAAAAGTACTAAAAATGTAGTTTATATTGTCATTCACTAAAATATACTTATTGAATATGAAATTTAGTACAATGATAATAATTATTATGCCAAAAAAGAAATTATATTTACAAATATTCTGAAACAAATCCAATAAATTCTTCATAATTTAATCTTTCATCTTTATTTTTATCATATTTATCAACCCATTGTTCAACTTGTATAGGGAATATAAAATTACAATCATTTTTCATGTAATTTTTTATTTCTTCTTTTGAAATAGTTCCATCTTTATTTCGATCCATTTCACGAAATATTTTCCTTAATGCAGCACATCTTGAAATAGATGTTGTAATGTATTGAAAGAAACATATAATGACAAAGTAATAAATAGATATTGTTTGAATGAAATGAGATTAACATCCAGTGCTTCTAGGTTTATCATGATAGTCTAGTTTCAATCGATTCATGATCTTAAGTATTAAAATTATTTTCTTCAAATTAAATCTTTTTAATAAAAGTGTATTCTAGGTCAGATATTATAGAATTAGGTTAAGTGTTCCCGCGTGAGACTGAAGGCCCTGGGTTTGAATCCCGCAAGCGGGATTGTGGATGTGCACTGCTGAGGAGTACCACAATAGGACGAAACAGCCGTCCAGTGTTTCTAGGTTTTCAATGATGGTCTAACACCAATCGGTTCATGATCTTAATCAAAAACTTAATAATCTCCACAACCCCTATACTGATAATTGATTGAAACATTGCAAATTAGGTATTTACTGTATGATTCTCAGATTGTACTAAGATGTTTTGTAATTTTATGTTTTCAAATCCATTCGATTGTCCCCACTTGAGTCCTTATTTATTTCATGATCAATTCCTTCTTAATCTTATGACGTGATTATAGTATTAATGCTCTGTTATGCTAGCGGGATAAAAAACTGCCCAGTTAAACAATATAAAACAGATACCCAACTTGCTATGTAATTAAACTTGTATCCTTTCAGTTCAGTTAATTATAAATAACTTTTAGAGTACAGGAAATACCAATATCGACAAATGACTAGTTCAGTACAAAAAAATAAATCTTTTTTTAAAAAACTCACGATACATCAGATTGTGAAAGTTTCTTATTGGTAGCTTTCATGAATTCATTTTTAGATATTTTCCCATCTTTATTTTCATCATACAGTTTGATAACTTCCTTTACAGAAAAAAAGTCATGAAGAAGTACAAAAAGAAGGTTCATAAATGAAAAATTAACCAATCTAAACAAACATTATTAAAAGCTGACAAATAAAAGAGAGCTACATATACAATAATATACATATAACATTTATTAAAATTATAAAATTACGTAATAAGAAGTGTCCAGATAAATACACCGTGAAGCGTATATTTGAGAAAAAATGGGTGGGAGGATGTGAAACAAACGAACAAAAAATATGGAAAAAAATAAACAAATTCATTTATTAAGTTCCAATAGTTATGATCATGAGTCAATTGAAGCTAGATCACCATGAAAAACCTTGAAGCACTGGATGGCCGTTTCATCCTATTGTGGGACTCCTCAGCAGTGTGCATCCACGATCCCGCCCCCCGCGGGATTCAAACCTGGGACCTATTAGTCTCACGCGCGAGCGCTTAACCACTAGACCATTGAGACAGGATCCAACGGTGTTAATGTCTAACTTCAACTAATCCACGAAATTGAGTTATACATCCACCATTGTTATCAGTGAGTTGCTATCTCACAACTGATCCGGTTAAACTCCATTGGTCACTGCTTCTCACTAGAACTCCAGGATATACATCTTGAAGCCAATCACTAGTGAGCATATGTTGATCAGTATCAGAAGGGGTTATTTTGTGGAGATTGTAGTAATTTCAATAGTTGTGATCATGAGTCAATTGAAGCTAAAGCACCATGGAAAACCTGGAAGCACTTATTAAGGCGAAAGGAGAGATAAGATTGTTACGAATTTCGTATAAACACAAAGACTTAGATTGTTGGCTTGAATTCTTATAGCTTCTGCTATGTGCAAGAGACAAGCTTGAACACCATAAGGAAAACCAGTAGGAATACGATAAATAACTTCAAATGACTGATAAACTACCTTGATTAGTTTAATAATTTCATATATACATATAAATATTACTGTTTATTAGCATAAAGCGTGATGAGGATCTAATCGAAAACAATATTGTTCACTTATATTTATATATATTGTTCTAAAACCCTTTATCACATTTTATAAAGAGAAAAAAGAAAACGAGAAAAAAGATAACGATTTTTTTGTTGTTGTGCTCATTAATTTTTTTAAAAATACCAATCAAACAAATAGAATCTTCCTTTGTTTTTCTTTTTCTTTTCTTCTTTTTTTCTATGGATGTCAAAAAATTCATTACAATTATTAACTGAAACAATTATGTACTTCTTTTTAATTGTTTCTTTTCGTTTGTTTTTTTCTTTTGATGAATATATTTTGATTATCACGTTTATTCATTATCTTTCCACATGATATATATATATATATACAAATCGTCAGAAGAATAAAACAACTTTACGATGTAAATTATAAATTTTTCAAGTTTGAATTATGAAATGAATAGAGAAAAACAAACTAGAAAGATTAATTGGTAATTATGATGAGATTGTTAAGGTTTTGATTAGGATCATGAATCGATTGATGCTAGACCATTATTAGGAGAAATGGAAGTCCTGAATGAAAGTTTTGTTCTAGTATGGAATACAAAATTTCAATGAACAACAAAAAAAGCTTACCATCTTTATAACCTAATAATGATAATTATCATGTACTTATTAGTGACTAGCTTTGTGAGGGTATTATCGGAGTTCTAGTGAGAAACCGTGACCAGTGGAGATAATCCATGTCAGGGAGAGACAGGTATGTACCTCAGACAATGGAAGATGGTCGTGCAATATCGTAGATTGGTTGAAGTTAGATATTAACACCATTGGATACCCACTCAGTGGTCTACAGGTTAGACGTTCGCACGCGAAACTAAAGGTAGTGGGTTCGGATTCCGCTAGCGGGATCGTGGATGTGCAGTACTTACGAGTCCCATACTAGGACAGAACGGCCTTCCATTGCTTTCTGGTTTTCAATGGTGGTCTAACAATAATCGGTTCATGATGTCAATGAAGAAAATATAAATGAAGTTGAACTATTAAGAATTCAAGGTGTACAACTAAAGTGTAATTTCAAACAAAATTTACTTTCGAATTTTGTGTATTATATTTAGGATTGTAAACAGTCATTTATAATATTAGAAATGTTATTATTAATTAAATATCATAATATATATAAATGATAATAACCAATTTAACTCGTCAGGAATTATCTGCTTTGATGAATGAGTGTGATGTTTGTAGTCAACAGAATTAATATGAAGCATATCATATTTATTCAATGTCGTTTTTTCAACTGCATTTATTAGCTGCATAAAGTTATATGCTTAAGTCAGCAAACGAAATCCATGCTTTCTGACAAAATAAATCTAGACTCAAGATAATTTTTTCAACATCTACTATCCCTTTAATATTATAGCACTTCTAGTCCCATTTATATGTATTCTGGTTGAAGCTTTTGATTTACACAGATCGATTCGATAACAATTTTTATAGAGGTATTTGTGAAATTTCAGTATTATTTGAACGTAAATCAATAATTAGAAAGAATTAATATGCAATTTGTGGATTGTATTCATCACCGAGTGCTATCACTTGAGGTGATATGTAGAATCAGGGAGCTGTGAATGGTTATTTCATTTCAGTATGGGATCAATCAGTAGTTTGCATCCCTCATGACCTATGGAGGCGGAAGCAATTATTGATATCAACACAGGATGTCTACTATAAACCTCATGATGAGTAATTTGAATGAGAATCAACGGTTAAAATCAATGTAACGTGATTCTAAAAAATTGAACGTATATTAGACTAGCAGATGTTTTCGCTAATTATAGAAGGTTTTCAGGATATGTAATGAAAGTCTTCAGAAGGAGGATTTCAAGAATAACAGGAATCGAAAGGTGTTCCTAAGTTCATAAAATGTATTAATTCAGGGAAAAGATTAATTATGAAGAGGTGAAAAAAACAATGATTTTCTAAATACTTACTTCAGCTTTACTTTTAGGAAAACCAAAACTTTCCAAACAGCTAATAATTTCAGCTCTACTTAGAAATCCATCAGAATTTTTATCAATACTGTCGAATTCTTTTTCAAGTATATACATTATAGCCATTCTGTTAAAAAAATGGTAGTTATTCAAGAAGAAACATCAACATGGCACTCACAATACAATAGTGTTTTAGATTGTTTTAAAAATCGGTATATTGTTTAATCATTAAAAAATCTATTTCAGTAGTTCCTGTCATTTTTTTCATATACAAAGGTATTCCATATGGTATATTACTTGGATTTCTTAATTGTTGGTACTTTTTCGCACAACATTATTCATTTAACTTGACTTATTCGAAAAACAAGGAAAAATATAGTGAAAGAACTTTTCACTAGTGCTTCTTAGTTGTTTAATTAGTTCTCTGAAAGCACGATAAAGCTTAACTTTGTAGATTATTTCCTAGTTTACTAGATAATTTTCCAAAAAAGAATCATAAACGCATTTCGGAATAACAAAAACCTATGCCCCCAAACATTTCCAAATGGTATTAGAGGTGTGAAAACGATTATCATATTGTGGTTGCCTACACCATGGATGGATAATTATTCTTGAGGGACCTGATAAGGAAACTGAGTTTGTGGAAGTCTTGAAGACTTATGAGAAATTAGGATTCATACCAAAAATAAAACACAAATATTGTTTTAGGAATCATGAAACAAACTGATGATTTACTATACCAAATGGGAATTTCTTCTTTCAACAGCAAAGATCTTTTGGATTAGACTCCTGTAATATCAATCACATGATTGATTATTAGACTGCAGAAACGTTAAATGTAGTTTGGAATTAATGTTAAGAAAATCCTTATTCTAATTATTTCTTTCATAAATTTCTATATTTTAGAAGTATTATGTTCCATACAAATTTTCAAACTATTCAGCTCAACTTTGTTAAATAGACTCGGGATATTGGTTAGTAACAATTTCCACAGTGTAATCAATAAATTTTCACTACAATTGAAACGCAAGATAACAAGTTCATGAGATCGAACATTGATTTTGTCTCCATGTTTTTTCTCATCTTTTAAAGCCCGATCAAAAATTATTTTCAACCAAATCAAGTTTTTTTTAATTGCACAAATTAATGAAACAATGAATTATTAGGAATACTGACAATTAACTTAGAACAGAGATCAAATTAAGATTATATAATCCGTTATAGTCATTTCATATTTTAACTGTATGGGACTCCTCAGAAGTGTACCTCCACGATCCCATACGCTGGATTCGAATGTAAGTCAGTTACTCTCCAAAGACAATGTAATCTTACAGAAAGTATGATACTAATAACTAGTCCATTTAAGCTAGAAATATTAGCTGTACATAGTCTACTTTTATTTCAACACTCTTCGTAAACTGCTTATTTTTATTAATAGATATATTTTAATATTTGATCAAAATGTTTAATGATCTAATTAGATTTTACCATCAATGAATAGTAGATAATGAATATAATCTAAGTTTTAGAATCTATATAAACATTTCTGAGAGATGTACATTGATAAAAGATGATAATCACTACTGTGGTGTGTGCTACTGATGTCGACAGATATAAGTAGTATGTGTCATCAATCGAAAGTGAAATGTCGAGTGGCAGAAGGTTAAGAAGATTGAAAAGAAAAGAGCGAGAACAGGGAATGATTGATGTAAAAACGAAGGAACAATCAAGTCTGAGACAATTGATTGACATTTCGCAAATGAAGTATTTACTATATGATTCTTAGAATTTAATAAAAGATTCTGTAATTTTGCATTAAAGTACATTTAATTGTCCCAGCATGTGTTCTTGTTCACTACAGTACCTTGGTTAATTATTATCAACTTTTTAGCAGACTAACTGCATTTTAACAATGTTCATGTACAAGGTAGAATTTCCAATATAATAAATTATCCTTTGCTAATACATTAGAATGATATAATTATCAGATTTATTAGAAACCAAAAATCTTTAGTTAACTCACTTAGTAATATGGTGATATGAATATAGTTGATTTTAATGAAATCGAATGAATAAATTCTAGATGAATCAATCAGCTTATAAACCGTGTATATTGTGGTTACACACACACACACATAAGCATATGTATCCATGACACCAAAACAATAAAAAAATGCTTACAATTCTTAAAACAAAAATCTGTTACATTATACAAAATTCAATCAATAAACATTGAAGTAAAGATAATGATTGTTGTGTATACAAAGAAAAAATGAAATCAAATGAATGCCAACAAATGATAGATTTTATTGAAATTTTTGGTTGTCTAGTTGCATGTTTATATGTAAAAATATCAACGAAGAATGTAACGATAGAAAAGTTAAACAATTTATTTTTATCAGTAGGGGGTTGTGAAAGTCTTTTTTTTTACCTCCGATTGATATCATGAACGAATCAATGTTAGACCACCATTTAAAGCATGGAGGCACTAGACAGCCATTTCGTTCTAGTATAGGACTTTTCAAAAGTGCGAATCCACGATCCCACACATGAGACTCAGACCCTGGATCTACAGTCTTTTGAGCGAACGCCTAACCTATAGACTACTGAGCGAGCATCCAATGGTGTTAATATCTAACTCCAACTAGTCTACGATATTGAGCGAACGTTCTCGATTGTCTTCAGTGAGTAATTGCCTCATATTCGAATTCCGCGTGCAGGATTGTGGATGCGCACTTCTAAGGAGTCCTATAGTAGAACGAAACGACTGTCCAGTTCTTCCAGGTTTTCAATGCTGGTCTAACATTGATCCATTCATGATATCAATTTAAAACTATTTTTATATATTTTCAATAAATGAAAAAAAAGTATTTTTCATTTTATTGTTTTACGTAAACTATCTAGTATTTTAAGATTTTTGAAGCATACTGTTACGAATTCCAAACTAACAACAACAGAACTATTCAATAGAATTTGATTTAATGAAAGCCTTTCAAGTGATATCAGTTTTTTATGTAGATTTTTATAGATCTATGGAAAAAAGAAGCTACTGAAATTTTATACAAATCTAGTTGAAAAATAGTGGATGTGTATCTTGTCATTCCAGTATTTACAAGAATCTCCCTTTTTTTAAAGTTACTACTTTTAAGCATGCTTATATATATATATATATATATATATATATATATATATATATATATATATATATATATATATATATATATATATATATATATATATATATTGCGAAAGCAATGCCTCAAATTGGTAAATATTAACTGATTATATATTTCTTTCTCTGATAATAAACTCATCTTTCATCTTCCTTAAAGTTTTAATTAGCATCTGTTCCGTTTTTTTCAGTTGTGTCTTTTTGAACAGTTTCTTTAGAGAATTTGACAGGATCGGATAATATCGAAGATAATTTGGTAACATAGTCAAAACACTTCATAAGGACAATTCCTGAACCCTTGTCTGGGCGATATAACACTAAGTCCTTTCTTTTTTTGAATATAATTGAGAACGCCTCATCAGATAGAATTATCGAAGTTAAATTTATGTTTAGTAGATAATTTCTGAATAAATTAATTGATGTGAACAGAGAAACAAGAATCCTTGACAAACTACGAAAGCTATTTTTCGGGACTTATTTCAGTTAATTCAAAGCTTGTAAAACATTAACATTTATTTTTGTCCCTAATCTATTCTACAGAACTTAAGCTTTCGTTTGATGTATGATTCACTGATATAGCCCTTTTTGTTCCAAAGCTATTGTAATTTAAACGCATTATTTTATACTCTATTTTCTACGCTAATTCCCAGTTTTGGACATAGTTGTATTTTCCTAATTATTGTACGTTGTGTTCGGGTTAGTCATTTATTTATTCATGTATGTTCTTACACTGATCTGGAAATCGGGAACCAGATCGGAATTGGGAATAAATCGAGTAGTGTTCTAGTTGACTTGTCTTCTCTCACTCTCGTGCTTGTCAGACAATCAGGTGATAGAATAGTTTTCTTCTCTCTACCCCACTTCGAACTCACGCGTACTAGCCTCAAAGTTAAGCCGGTCAGCCTATCGCGTCAAGGTCTTAATCTAGTACGTTAGACAAGTTAACCTCAGCAACAAAAGTGGGTAGACAGATCAAGGACGTAACATTAATTATTATGCCAGATAAATTGTTTATACATAACTCTTGTCAATTATATGCAACCTTAAGAGTATATCAAGGATAGTGTGATGACAACAAATTGTACTTATTCAAACAAATATTTGACAAATCGTCCAATCATGTTAAGCTTTATTGATAAAATGAATTGTATGTTGAATACAGGATAAGTATTCTCCATTGAATAATCTTTAAATATGAATAAAATAGATAAATCTACTAATAAGATAACAAACCATCTGTGTTAGTTTAATTAAACTGAATAATATACTGATTTACAGCCTAAAATAAACAGTTTGTACAGTAGAAAAGCTTAAAAATTAACCATTGCAATAACACTGATTGTATTTTGGGAAACTGATGACTAAGAATGTTTCATTTCTTTTTATAAGAAAACAATATTAACACAGTCATAAATAATAACAGACCAAAAGATAAACTATTAATTCAGTGTAAATCATAATAGTTTTACTCTCTTAATACGTTTGACTAATTTAAATATTTGGGTTGAAATTGGGTTCAGTCAGTCAGTTATCTACAACGTAGGAGCAGGCACATATATGCATCAGTCCAAGTTGCTACACCTCATTAGCACAAGATGAACACCAAAATCATAGATGTTAATTCAGTGGTGTAAGTATATATTAAAAAAGATTGCATATAGGTATATGATGTAGGGAAAAAGAATAAGCTCATAGAAAGAAAGGTATAAAGCAATTTTAATCTCTTAGTTTAAGGGAAGATGGAGATCGATCCTGAACCATGTCACCAAGAGTCTCCAACCATTGGTTACGATAGTCACGCGGACCCCAACCAAGTAGTCTGCATCTCCCAACATGGCTCAGATCAGAAGTTAGTGGCTTTATGGACTGATGCTACGTTTTGGTTTGGCTGCCACTAAATTTATTTCATCCTTCTCCAACATTATTCAGCATTGCTCGTCGTGGTAATCGGTGTTCGGGCATACGTAACACGTGGCCCAACCATCTCAGTCGATGAATATTCACAACCTCATCAACTGATTTACCATCGTTCCCTAATACCCTGCGTCTAACCTCACTATTACTTACCCGGTGATCCCAGCAATATTTCTAAGACACCTGTGGTCAAATACTAGTGCCTCACGAGTATCCTCTACTCTTAATGGCCATCTTTTGATGCCGTCAATTAAAACAGAATGAACTGTCGCGCAGTATACTCGTTCTTTTATTGATAGACGGATATCTCGCCTTCGCCATAGATGACGTAAATTGGCAAAAGCCAAACGAGCTTTTTGAATCCGTGCAGAGATTTCATCAAACATCAACTCATTAGGGCTGATCAGACTTCCAAGATAAGTGAAGCTGTTGATGCGTTTGACCACTTCATATCCTATCCTTAGTTCAGGTGTTGACGCAGATCAGTCCTGTAGCAAAAATTCGCATTTACAGAGGGAGTAACACATCCCAAACATCCTGGTATGTTTGCTCAATGATAACAAAAGACGGCATTTTATCAGTAGTAAACAGTAAAAAATTATGTATTTGGCTTAAAATCACATTGTGTTTGTGAGCTTGTGGTACCAACCGACATATAAAGTGAAATAGATACAATGGGATTCAAATCTGAAGCCCAATAATCAAACTTTCAGTGAGTATATCATCTATTTATCATTAGAATTGTTAAATACATCAAGCTGATAAGGTCTACAGTTCTAGTAATCGTAGTAAATGTCAGACAGATACTAATTAATTAATTGGACTAGGGTAATACATGTGATAACTTAATTGATTATTGCACTTATAAATTTACATTTGACTAACCGTATCTTTCAAATGAATAAATGAACAAAATGATAAAACAAGCAATTAAGTATTCTATAGTTCGTTAGTAAAATAGGAAACTTTATTATATATACGAGTTGGTTTTTGTTTATAAACAATATTGACTTACAAACAGTAAAATATTAGACTAATTAAAAATCATTGTCTCAAATAAAAATTATTATGATAAATCAATTGGGATAGAATGCCAAGTACTTATAAATCAATTAAACATTTAAGTAAACTTAAACACCAGTATAGGGGTTGTGGAGATTATCAAGTATTTGATTGAGGTCATGAACCGATTGATGTTAGACTACCGTTGGAAACCTGGAAGCATTGGACGGCTGTTTCGTCCTACTGTGGGGCTCCTCAGCAGTCCTATTAATGATAATTATAATGTGCTCACTCGTGACTAGGTTAGTGAAGGGATTCTTGGAGTTTTAGTGAAAAGCCGTGACCACTAGAGTTAATCCATGTCGGGTAGAGAC